TTTAAGTTTATTTTTATATAAAAGATTGATTTAAAAAAATTAATTCCAGAACGACTCCAAAAGATGATGAGGGTATCAATATATTATTCATGTGTTGGATGGAAACGATTACTAGAGGATTGCCACCATGTATTATAATCAATGGAAGTACAGAGCAAGTTCTTGCCGTCAATTCTTAAATCATTAATATATATATATCTAATATACATAGATTATACTTTATTTATGTATGCACTTTTGAACATTTTTCTTTTTCATTAATAACTAATAGGCATCTACCTACCTATTGTGCTATATACAAGATATAGATTATAGTACAACTGTTTCCAGAGTTGATATTTCCCAAACAATTTTTTCTGGGGTGCCAGGATGATGTTACCGCAACATAAGCACTGCTATTAATGAACAACGAGTTCTATAAATATTTTTATTTTTCATTAAGTGCACTATTATTTGTACCAGTTAGTACCACTGAGATTGAATTTGTAMACTTTACATACATTTTAAGAGTCATATCTACTTTTTGTCATTGTAAACGACAATGCTATTTTGCTATTTTTTTAACAATCAAAAGATAAATACTTATTAATATCTATTATTAGCTTTAGAAATTATTCATTCATTGGTTTTTGTTATTTTATTATGAAATTAATTATATATATATTTATAATGCAAATAACATTTGATATCGTTTTATATTGATCATTTTATTTAAATTTTAAAATGTCAGCACGTCTTGTTCAGATTTTCACTCAGTAGTCAGTACAACAAGTCACTTCAATAGTACATCATTGGAACTTCGTTTAAATTAAATGAAAATGAAATTAAGATACCTTTTTTTATGAAACCTAATATATATAAGAAACCATTTTGTTGAACAAATTTAAGGCGGGTTTGACAATAGTCAATAAACACTTGAATTAATTCTGTCGGTGATTAAATCTATGAAGTTGTATCCTTGCTGGTCTGGAACTATAATTAACAAATAGGCTGGTTTCAAAAAATTAATGGTATAGAATTATTATGTGAAATATATATTTTTATTTTTTATTCATAAAAAAAGATAATTACAATTTACAAAACTCTAATAAGGTAATAAATCAATAATTGTTTATACCAGTAATAATGAAATTAAGTAAATGCGTCTTAAAACYAATATTGTGCGCTGGTATCAAATATGTAGATGGTCATACAGAGTCATATCATATGTAATGAAAAAAAAAATAATAATATTGATTTCATTATTTGCAACACTGTTCAGATTTTCCCATCAACCCGTTACACCTTCGCCAAGTKTKGACCTTCCAGCCGGGTCCATATCCTAACATATTGTTACAATAGCAGTTGAAAAATATAAGAAATACATACCTAGTCACAATTTTTTATAAATATATATATATTATAATTCTTTGGTCTTTAAAAATTCATAAAATGTTTATTTTTAATAGCCAAGGATTGAAAATTAAAACCAATGTTACAAGTAAGTAGTTGATTCTGCGGCAATAAAATCTAAAAACTATGCGCAAACACAGTTTTTTCTTATAATTTTTTTAAGTTCAAATTTGGATGAAATTATCTATTAAATAACCAAAAATAACAATTTTAGCTATATTATTGTAATTTTAAAATATCATTCGTCTGTTCTTTAAATTGTATATACCTACTATGAATGACTGAGTGAGCCGTGTGCATAATGAAAACGATTGGATTAATTTGGAACTTATTTTATAGGTACCTACCTACATTTTTGGAGTACTACAAAAGTTAAATTTTAATGACAATTAATGTAATTTATGTTGTACACATCCAAACAGTACAGTATAGGGGTAATAAAATAACTCCTCTGAAATAGTGTAAAAAATTAATACAAGCATAATATTTTGATTTATACAATTAAAATTTCTAAAACGCATACATTTTTTAATACTGATTTATTAGTCAATAAATAAATAAAAACTAATTTTAAATGTTTTCAGTGAGTACTTACGAAGTAATTCTAGATTTATAATCAATTAAACGTACTTTAAAAAGTTAAGTTTCGTGTTTTGTTCATTCTAAAGTAAATACAGTCTAATTTTCGGGATTGCTATTTGATAAGTAATTATCAGTACAAGTCAAAATAGAAAATATAGAAATGCTTGCACTTTTATTTAAAGTTAAAAGTTGATACTTATAAATTATAATGATATGTTAACACGATACACTTTCTACCTATGTGTCAAAGTGGAYGCGTAAGTACCTACTTAGTACCTAAATTTAATTCCTTAATTTGGAAAAATAAATTGATYAATCAAACATTACTTTATATTATGTAGTTTTTAGGTACTTATTTACTGCGATGACCAAAAGAAACAAAGACAAGTTGCGATTCATGTTGATGTTGTTGTTGTTTAAACATAAACTCTTGAACAGTAAGTTGATAGAGTTATATCGATGGTCGTTTGCTTCATAGTTCGTATTAACAACGTAGCGATAGCATAATATAGATAGCGCCGCCTTGTCGGAAAATAGTTTTAAACACAAGAGACCATATCCAATAGCAGATGGTARCACAAATTTGGCGTTTTGAGATAATTGGTTATAAATAAGCATTTGTAAATGGTAATAATTTACACGCTCTAAATTAAAATATCATAAAACAGCCAACGTAGGTTACATGTGTGTAAATGTTTTCAACTAAGTTTGATAATATGTTACTCTTGTTATATTCACTCTAATGTTAAAAGTAGTAACACAGGTTGGGTTCTGCTGAACGTATATTTGTCATGTTTGAAGTTCAAATTTTTACAACTGTGAATACACGATTTCTCATGAAACGATTTTCTTATTTTGGAGTGATTAAAACACAAATAACTGAAGATACTTGATATTTATACAAAATATTTGTTTGATGATTCCCTTTACTTTATACAATTTTCAAAATATTGTGTTATTTTTATATTTTGACTCGTTTATAAAGCTATTTGCGGACACTTTAAATTTAAATTTTTTCTTTTTTTAATGACAGAAAAATTTTTTTCGTTCGGTGAAAAAATACAAGTCTCTTGATATACTGTTAAAATAGCAGTTGAAAAATATATGCATAAGCATGATTTTTTTATATGTAACTTTAAATTTTATCAATATTTAATCAAAGTTGGTCGTTCTTTATTATCTCAACATCTGAACAACCCTAATTTTAACCCTAAATTATTGGTAAATATTTGTAATCACAATATCAGATATTKTAAGTCAACAATTTTAAAATATCTTTGGAAGTTAAGCCAACTAGACAACTAGAACTTTTTGGATTGTTTACTTTATCTAGATATTGTGGTTCATTAGTAAGTATTTTTAAGATCAAATTTAAAACTTGAAAATTTGATATATTCAAAGTTTTGGTAGCTTTATTTTTATAGTTGTAAAGATAGCYCACACTTTCTCTCAATTCAATCTAGCCCATATCAATATTTAGCAAAGAATTAGAAAAAACTTTGCAAATAAGTTTTTTAAATTTGTAAGTAATTATTTTCAAGTACGTAACAAGAATGAAAAAAGGTGGGCCAACTTTCACGTGTTAGAATATTTTGTAATTGATATAGAGAGAAAATACGCGACATACTGAAAGTACAGTATGTTGATGAGTGATGAACTGATGACCGATGACCTATCCGAATATAGAGGTGGGGAACTGCAGTTGAGTTTTTTTTTTCTAACCTTCAGAAAAGACACTGCACCTTAACGATCCATATTACTAG